CAGTATGCATTCTGCAGATCTCCACAGAAAGATAAATGGTGTCAAGCATATGTGGAGGACTATCCTCACAGATCATTCATGAGGAAATGTATAAATATTAAACTTCTTGAAAACCGTCTCTGGAAAAACAGTCACATGTGTGTCTGTGGCTTGCGTTTTTCGCAGATGCACCCCTAAAGCTGGCTTAATAAACCTCGATTGATTGAGATCCCTGCTTGGTCACTCATTTTCAGTTGTCATTTGGTAACCATGAAGGGTTACTCAGAGTAGAACCCCTTTGATTGCAGTGATTCTCCTATTGGTGCTTGGTGTACCTGCTGGAGTTTTTTACTCTAAGTGTGGTTCACTGAGGCTCAGCAGCTGCTCTCTCCCAGGGTTCCCTGCTCTGCCAAGATTTTCAGTTGATATATAAGGGTTATTTTGACAGGGACCTCCCTGAAGGAGTTTTTCTCACTTCTGATAAGGAGGATGAATTTCCTGCTTCTGTGACAACAGAGAGCTGTCTTTGGCTTGGATACCATCTCCAGGTAAGGGCTGATTTGGGGTTTCATTTTAGAATTTGATAGCTGAAGGTTAAGATTGATAGTCAGCTGGCTATGACTTCTCCTTATGCTTAGATATCTCAACAATACATAAATTGGGCAATCGCTTTTTCTTGTTTTGGGTTTCATTCAGTCTTACATTAGATTTGATCAACTGTTGGTGAAAATTGTCAGAAGCTCTATCAGGGTCCTCAAACTTTTTTTTTTTTAAGACAGAGTCTCGCTTTGCTGCCCAGGCTAGGTGAGTGCGTGGCGTCAGCCTAGCTCACACAGACCTCAATCTCCTGGCACAAGCAATCCTGCTGCCTCAGCTCCCGAGTAGCTGGGACTACAAGATGTGCAACCATGCCCGGCTAATTTTTTCTATTATATTAGTTTGCCAATTCATTTCTTTCTATTTATAGTAGGGATGAGGGTCTCACTCTTGCTCAGGTTGGTTTTCAAACTCCTGAGCTCGAACCATCCGCCCACCTCAGCTCCCAGAGTGCTAGGATTACAGGCGTAAGCCACTGGCACCCAGCCCTCAAAATTTTTAACAGGGGGCAGTTCACTTGTCCCTCAGACCGTTCGGAGAGTGCACACTGTGGGCCTGGGACATGTCAGCTGCTAAGCAGGACAGGCAGTGGTGGCAGAAACACCTGGCAGGCTGATAAATGTCCTGGCGGCTGCGTTGTCCCTTGGCGGTAGTTTGAGGACCCCTGCCTAAATTGTGGGAAACAAGACCTCTAAAATAGACTAAAACCCTTGCAGCTGCAGAAAATCAAGTTATACCTCTACAGACACGACCAGTTAAAATAAATCAAAATTTTACCCCCAGAATTATGGCAAGAAACATCCGTGAATTCCAGAGAATCACCAGAGAGAGGTGCCCACGAGCAAGGAGCCCGCAGCCGCATCCCCTGCTCTGTGTGGTGGACAGAGCTTCCTTCCCCTTGGACCCACCTGGGGCCTGTTGAGAGAGGTGAGGATGAAGCTCTTGTCCGTGGCCCTGAGTGCAGAGGAGAATCTCTGCCATATGTGTTACTTTCTCAGGTAATACTTTGTGTTATTTTATAAAAGAATCCTTTAATCGAGGGTTGACTATTCATCATCAAAGCATGCGCAATATGTCAAACGCATTTCTGTTTTGTTTTTGGGGAGAAATGGTGAGACGAATATGGGTACTCTTGGGGTAAACTTGGGGACCAGTAGGTGTTAGGTAGAGATGCTGGTCATGTGGGTGTTTGAGAAAGATTTCTCACAGAGAGATTAAGATGTATAAAAATTAAAAAAGTTTACTTTATCTTTTTAGAGGAGAGAGAGAGAGAGGTGGAGAGAGAGAGACCCGTGGCATCCAAAGAAAGGAATGGGGTGCAGCGTGAGGCCAGGTGGTCGCTGAGTTTAAAGGGGGAAAGAGGAAAAACATAGTGATGGCTGTCAGTTGATAACAAACACAGCAGCAGGTAGATAACAAAGACTTCTCTGTAGAGGCAAGGACCCTCAAAGACCCTCAACTCCCTCTATGAGTCGTCCTTACACACGGACTTCGCCCTGGAAAATTCCAGCTATAGCTCCGAGAAGAATGCAGTCCATGACGTGCTGACACGGATGCTCCAGGGTGTGCTGACTGCAATTGTTCCCACCACCTGCCAGGTTGGAGATGAGTAAACAGTCAAAAACAGGATACTGATAGACGCTGATTGGGGCTGATTAACCCAGACCAAGCCTCATCGTCGCCACTCTATTTTTTTGTATCTACTTCCTTGTTTTTGTATGCTTATAAAACCTACTAAGAATCTAAGTAAAGCAGACCTTGACAATCATTCGCTTGGTCTCGTTTCTTTCTCTCGCTCATCTCTTTCAGGCATGTCCCCCTCGCCCCGCGAGTAACAGAAGGTCCCTCGGGTCGGGACAGACTTCAAGGATGTCCAAGCCTAGAGTTGATTTTCTGCCTTCCTTGGGGAAGGGTTGTCACAGGAGATGCGACTCTGTCCCAGGTATGGTTTCCGCTGGAGCTCAATCTCCTGCTGCTTACTCAAGAACTCTGTAAAAGCAGATTCTCAAAAAAACAATTTTGAAAGAGAAATATTTGCATCTCCTTTCTGTCCATTCAGCTCTTTCAGAAGTTGTGCAAAACAGAACTCCTGTAGGCACCTGTTTGTGAGAGGACTCATAGGATTGACCTTTACCTGTGACTGGGAAATGCTGGGATTAGGTATTTTCCTGTTATTTTTGCAAGGCCCACCCCATCAGTAGGTGCCTGTGGAGCAGCCCCTAAGGCTGAGCCAGAGGAAACACAGCACCCTATAGAAATGCCTTTGTGTTTTAATGGCTCTTTTTTCTTCCAGCGTTAAAGTAGTTGAAACAATATGACAAATTGAAAAGTACACATATTAAAACTCATGACATTATTTAAATTTATAATATATTATTTATATCAAACTACAATTTATTAAAAATTTGTTTTGTGGCTTTATTGAAGTAAACTTATCAAAACATTTTTCCTTTGGTTGGGAATGTCACAGTTTAATTGGCAGTATACTTGTAATGATACATAAAAAAATGTCTGTTTTAAAACAGTAACATTCTACATTACATGAAATACATTAACTGTAGCAAGCTTAGATATTGTACCACACATTAATTGAAGAAAGTCACCATCTTTTTTTCCTACGCCTTGAACATTTTAAATAAAATCAGTTTTATTAAAGGTCAATTAACACTTAACTGTGAAACATATGGTTCTGGTGTCTGTACAATGGGTGATCTCTAAGCATCATTCTAAGGTTTTCTTTTTTTTATTATTTTTATTTTTTAAATATATATAATTTTTATTACTTTGCTGGCAAAGGACTAAAGTTTTCTTTGAGGACTAAACTCTGATCTTTTTCTTTTGCTAAAAACTCCTTCCTAAGAGAGACCAGCTGGGTCAGGCTGACAAATGCTAAATTTCTGCTAAGCGGCTTTTTTAACCAAATAAAGCGGTGGTTTACTTTCCAACCGGATTCTGGTATGGTATTAACATCACCTAAAAGATAAGATGCCCCTATCTTAACTCAAGCATCCTAGCAGATGCCTATTCCTAAATTTAAAGCATCTTAAGGCATCCTTAAAGCATCCTAGCAGGCGCCTATGGTAAATTTAAAACGTCCTCCTGTCTGGACCTCCCAGAGTGCTCACACCCTTATCTTAAAATAAGCATATCCTTTCTGGTCTTCTATATAAAGTCTAACTCTCTCAGCCAATTGCCAGCCAATAAATCTTTAAACCCACCTATTACCTGTAAGCCCCTGCTTGGAGATGTCCCACCTTTTTAGGCCAAACCAATGTATGCCTCTCATGTATTGATTTGTGACTTTGCCTGTAACCCCTTGTCTCTCTGAAAATGTATAAAACTGAACTATAACCCAGCCACAGCGAGTCCACTTGCCCAAGGCCTCTTGGCAGTGGCTCTGGGTCATGGTCCTCAAATTTGGCTCAAAATAAATCTCTTTAAAATTATTTTGCAGAGTTTGGCTTTTTTTTGTTGACACTTTTCTTTTTTTTTTTTTTGAGACAGAATCTCGCTTTGTTGCACAGGATAGAGTGAGTGCCATGGTGTCAGCCTAGCTCACAGCAACCTCAAACTCCTGGGCTCAAGCAATCCTCCTGCCTTAGCCTCCCGAGTAGCTGGGACTACAGGCATGCGCCACCATGCCCGGCTAATTTTTTCTATATATATTAGTTGACCAATTAATTTCTTTCTATTTATGGTAGAGATGAGGTCTCGCTCTTGCTCAGGCTGGTTTCGAACTCTTGACCTCGAGCAATCCAGCCCGCCTCGGCCTCTCAGAGTGCTAGGATGACAGGCGTGAGCCACCGCGCCCGGCCCAAGAGGTGGGTTTGAGTTCAGGCTTAAATACTATCTTCAGCTGGTTTTCTTCTAGAATTCTTTTTTTTTTTTTTTTTTTGAGACAGAGTCTCACTTTGTTGCCCAGGCTAGAGTGAGTGCCGTGGCATCAGCCTGGCTCACAGCAACTTCAATCTCCTGGGCTCAGCGATCCTCCTGCCTCAGCTCCCGAGTAGCTGGGACTACAGGCATGTGCCACCATGCCCGGCTAATTTTTTGTATATATATATTTTTAGTTGGTCAATTAATTTTTCTATTTTTGGTAGAGATGGGGTCTCGCTCAGGATGGTTTCGCACTCCTGACCTTGAGCAATCCGCCCGCCTCAGCCTCCCAAAGTGCTAGGATTACAGGCGTGAGCCACCGCGCCCGGCTTCTTCTAGAATTCTTATCGTTTTGTTTTTTTATTTGTCTGAAGAGTACTTTGAGTGAATTTTTGTATAAGTTGTCAAGTTTATGTGTATATGTTTTCTACTTAATTGTTCCCTCCCTCATCATTTTTGTAAAAGACACAGGACAGTGAGACCGTATCAGTTTGAATTTCCAAATCCTGGCACGAATCCTCTGAATTTGGGATTTAACTGGTTCTGCTGCACTGCCCGCGAGCGCTGGGGCTGCAGTGCCTGTGCGGGCCAGTAGGGGGCGGACCGCCCGTCCTGCCCTCTGGCGTCACGCCCGCGGCGCCCTGCAGTGAGACGACGCGGCACCGCCTCCCTTAGCGCAGCCGCGCATGCGCCAGCTCGCTGGGGACTGCCGTCGAGGGCGAGTGGGGCTTTCCTGTGCACACACCTGAGGCCCCGAGGGTGAGTGAGATCTTCCCGTCCCTGCCCCCAGCCCCCGGACCCGGCCTTCCTCTCCGCAGCTGCCTGCCGAGGGGCAGCCGGTCCTCAGAGCCCCGGGAGGAGCTCCGTGTGGAAATTTGGAAATGGGGAATGCGCAGTTTCCACCACACCGAGGTCCCCCACGCCCAGGACGTGGTGGCCACGGGTGTGACAACCACCTGGTGGCCTCTCCACGCTAATGCGGTTTCAGATTTTCGCCTTGGTGCTCGGTTGCACCGCTGTGCTGAGCCGGGTGTGGATCTGAGTCCCTGTGAGGAAGTTTGGTGTCGTCTCTGCGTTACTGACAGGGTGTTGAGTGGTTGTTTATAAACGTATTTTCCTTCTAATAATTTCGTGCTTCCAGGGAACGTGCAATTGCAGCACGAAGTACTCTTTGTCCTGCCTGAGATTCCCCAGCGTCATTGCTGGGTGAGATTTGCTACTTCACACCAAGTACTCCCGTGTGTTTTACCCACAGCAGCGACACTCATTAGCCCCCAAATCAGGCAATACACCTTTCTCTCTGACAGTCCAATCCACTAGGCCCACTTCACTCACTGCCTTCCCCAACTGGGAGAAAAACATGCCTTTCCCTTTGGTTCCAGTTTTCTTTTTCTGGAACTGTTTCTGAGACTGTCCCTCAGTTTCTCAGCCTTGGCAGATCTGAAGAGCAGAGATGACTCCAAGGTGGGCCTGCCCAGAGTTTCCTCCCGGGCAGACGCAGCCCCTGCGTTCCCGTTCTCGGCGGGAACACCCTCCGTTTACGCTGTGCTCTCTCAGTGCAGCCCACCGGGAGCAGCACAGATCCCCGCCCCACTGGTGACCTCAACCTTACGGTGTCAAAGTCAGATGTCATCATGTCACTCTCCTGGTTAGAAACTTTGCCAGGGAGTTCCTACTGGAAAAACAGGACAGGACTGACCGTGGCCTCCAGACACTGAGCACTCCCGGCTGCTGCCCTCTCCCGTGCAGTCCACCCCCTGCCTGCGGTCTGCTCTCTCACTTTTAGGGACACAGCAGGGTTTCCGTGTCTCAGGGCTTTTATTCAGGTTCCCTCAACGCATCCACCCAGTGGACACCCAGAGCACATTTTCTAAGGCTTTATCCAGCTAGATCCTCAAAATCACAGCAGTTTGTAATATCTAATAGTTGAAAAATTCATAACGTGATTTTTCAAAAGACAAAAAAATTCTTGGCGAGCACTTGGGCGAGCTGCCGGGCCGCTGGGCAGAGCCGGGGCCGGGGGCGGTGCTGGCAGTCGCCGAGGAGCTGGTAGGTTGGGGCCCCGGGGACGGCTGGCCCGGGGAGCCCCGAGGGCGGTGCGGTCCGGGTGACGGGGAGCCTGGGGTGCAGGTGCAGCGTGCGACGCGCGCTCTGGGTGCCCCGGGAGCCAGGGGCGTGGGACGCCGAGCGTGTGCGGACGCCGCCGCCTGTCAGGCAGGCGCTTTCCCTTCCCTCGCCCGCGCGCCGCCTCGCCCTCCCCCGCCCGCTTGTGTGCCCACGGGCTCCGGACAGATCGCGCGGGCCTGGCTCTGGGCGGCCCCCGCGCGCGTCGCCTCCTCCGCTGGGGGCGAGGACGCGGCGCCCGGGACGCCTCTCCGCACGGTAGCGTTCCCTGAGCGCGTCCCACCCAAGGTCGCCCAGCCTCACGTGCGTTTATTTTTCGTAGGTCGTGTGTGCCCGGGCTCCGGGCGGCGGCGGGGCGGGCTCCCGGCCGGGGCAGGTGCGCGGAAGGGCGAGGAGGCCCCCAAGCCCGCGGGGATCCCTCCCGCCCCTGCGGGGTTGGGTCGAATTGGTCCCTTCCGGAGCCTCACCCAACTTCTGGGCCCTCGGGCTCGCCCCGGGTGGCGCCCCACCGTGGCCGGGCGGCGGAGGCCCCGAGCAGGTAGCCCAGCGCCTGGAGTTCGGCGCGGAGAACCAGGTGGAGGGCTCGGCTCGGAACGGGGAGGACGGGCTGCGAGACCGGTCGCGATCCGGTCCCATCGTGTTCGGGCGGAGGGGCCGTCTGACCCGAGTTCGGGTGCCGAGGTCCCAGGGTTGGGCGTTGCCAGCGGGTTAGCTTTCGTAGCCCCGGACGCCTGTCGGCCCTGGCCGCCCAGCCTGGCGTGTCCGCTGACCTCCGCCAGGGGGCGCCGAGGGCCTTCTGAGGGACCACGCTGTTTCGGTTACGAGCCGCGGAGTCCTCGGGGAGGCCGGGGGCGGGGCGCCTCCAGGGCAGGCTTTCAGTGTTCAGCTTTTTAGCGCCCTAGGCTAAGGTTCTTCCATTTCCCCTCTCTGGGAAGGGTCGGCGAGGAAAGGTGCTGATGGTGGTGGGCGGTGCAGAAGCGACTCCGGACGGCAGGGAAGCCTCGGGTGTTCCGGGATCTTCCTCTCCCCGGAGATGTCCAGGGTGGCGGGCGCCTTCCAGCCCCTCTGCCGCGGTTGACGCAAACCCGGTGGATTTCGCCCCAGGTGCGAGGTGGAGGTCTCTTAAGCCGGTAGGGTGTACGCGCCGGTCACTTAGTGAGGTTAAACTGTCTTTCCCCTACTGAAGCGCAGGCTTTTTGGTGTTTAGATTTATCTCCTATAGTGAAATCTAGGCTGCTGGACCTGGTACAACCATATCTGTTAGTTACTGGTCGAGGAACACCGGTTCACAAAAAGCAATTAATTCTGACAACCAATAACCTTACATGCTCTTGTAACTGCTAAGTCCTTCCCAAATTAGTGCCTTCTTAAAAAAAAATCTTTATTTAGAAAGCAAAGCTTGGATTCTTAGCACCACCCATCCACTTTGCTTTTAAAGGTACAGAGCATCTTTGAAGTGAAGAGGGCAGCCTGTTTGATCATTTATCTGATTTCTCTGGTCTTGGCACTCAGGTGGTTCACCTGATTATTTAAGACTTTTTCTGATCACTGGAAACCAGTGAAGTTCTGTTTTGGGAGCTTTTTTTGACTTGTGTTGAACCTTTCCTTTTTCACCTCTAACACATTTTGTAGGTTCTGGGTAGTAATTCTTGGGTGTATTCTCTATGAAACATGGCTCTAGGTTAGAGGAAGTTCTCTGGATCCTACAGGTATGCAGATCATTAAAGCTCAAGTCCATTACTGGATTAAATAGGCTCCATTGTCATGCGTGTTTTAAGTGATGGCCCAGAACTTTTAGGAACTTATCCTACCCCAAGAGTGAGACTGGTCTTAGAGATTTGTGTCTAGGTGGGGTCCTTTGTAGGAGTCTCTCTCCCACCTTCCAGCTGTTTCTAGGAAATGCATTCTCACCTGGCCACTGCAGGGTGACAGTGGAGCTAGGTGTCTGTTGTACGCAGCCTGCTCAGGTGCTGAAGTCGATGTGTCTCCAGTTGCTGAGCATTAATATTTTAAAGCAGGTTGTCTTGCTACCTGGTAACCCAAATTAATCTTGGGCTTTGGATGTATAGCCATAGTTTTTGGGAAAGGCTAGTTTTAGCCATAGTGTTCCTTCCTCATCCTGAAGACAAATTGAGATCATAGTTGTGAGACTGTACTGTGCCTGGTTCATGATAGGTGCTTAAGCATTGCTCCCCCCAACCCCCCACCCCAAAGAAGCCCTGAGTCTTTCTCTGGAATCACTTGAGTGATTTAAATTTAATTAAAAGCATGCCTTCTGACCTAGAAACTTGGTTGGAAGGAAAAGGGAAACAAATTGGTTTCCCCAGCTTTGCCAGCTAGCCTCCTGGCTCTGGCTTGCAACAACATGACTTGCTTGAGTGGGCATTTCAGGGCTTTGAAGAGCAGGCAACTCATAGCCCAAGAACCTGGAGAGCTGTCTTGTGTTCCCTTAGGGTTCTCATTCCTAATCTTGTCTGTGATTCTAGAATGATCAAGCTTCCCTGTAACTTGGTCTGTTTTCCTATTGTGGGGAAGTCATTTGTTTTGGATATGAGTTAATACTTTCAACTTGTCATTCTGAGTTTTCCTCAACTATGGAAAGGTGGTGAGTCCTAGGGGCCTCTTGTCCCACTGAAATCATCTCATACTGATTGAGAGTAGCTTATCTCTGTAGTGGGGTATAGTTTAGTTATAAACCTTGCTTCCTAGGGCAGGTTCTGTTTCTTCCACATTTCCTTCCTGGTATTTCATTGTTATGATCATTTCACATCAAGTACCCATTGTATGTGACATCCCACTGAGGGAACCTGCTGACACTGGCACCTAATTTTAAACTTGGGTGATGGAAAACGTGATCAATGAGTATGTTTGGAGTAGGGCAGGGTCTGGTGGCAGAAGCAGCAGGTGAGGACATGGGAACTAAAATTTGGAGGCTGCTTCTTCATTGACAGTTACTGTGCTAGGTGAGCTACAAGCAAACAGCTCCGTAACCCTTTAGTTCTCACACCTCTGAGTACAGTGCAAGTGAGGTTGGAGGCCATTCCCAGTTATTTCAGTGGCTGTCACAAAAATATAAATTGAGGGGTAGAGGAACTAACAAGGGTGGGTTTGGACTTGAACTAGGTCCTCTGGAGGGCTTTTGTGAGAAGAACCAAGGAAAATTCTTAAATCCGTGGGCTTCCCTCCTAATCTTTCTGCTGCTTTCTAAGCAGATTGTTGCAGTGAGTGTTATTCAGCATTCTGAGGACTGGCTTTTCAACAATAAGTAGCTTTTAAGGTGTCCTTTTTCTTAACTTTTTCTCCTGCTAAATGGTGCAGCCCTGCCTTCATTCTGTGTAGGTCCTTGCCACCTGGACATATCTGGTTTGATAGTTTGCAGCAGTTGGTAGTAAACATTCTGTTCCCTGTTCCAGAATGCTGGCTGGCTGTGTTTACTTAGCTGTGCGTCACTGAGGCCCACTTGCCCTTGGGAACAAAGCAGGGCCCCGAGGTGAGTTCTGGAAGTAAATGTATGTAGAGCTCAGAGCTGACCAGGCTTGCTTCACTGCTGGGCTTAGCTGGCAAGAGCCCTGGATTGGGTGCAGCTCTCAGAACTGAAACCCAGCTGTGGTTCTAGGCAGGCCTGTTCTCAGCAT